GTGACCGCCCCAATTAACTTTGATGTTCAATCGTGTACTGCTACAAAGATGTTACAACAGCAACGCCATATGTGTAGCGCTGGAACCAATAACAAGCTTGGTGCTATCTTGAAAACTATCGTAGTGGCTTTGTTTGTCCTGTTCAATTCGCAACTCATAAGTTGAAAGTTAACTGGAGCCGGGGGAGAGTTGGTGTCATAAGAACAAGTGCACTGTACGGACGTAGTAGTATACTTCTTCGGCTTGAGTGGCTGGATATAAATGAAGTGAGTGATTGAGGCAGCTCACTAGCGCGCGTACGTACCACCGATCAATCCATCGAGACATCCGTGATGGCACCGCTCCCAGAGACCACGGCGGAGGCCACTCTAGCGGCGGCGGATGACAGCGGCGACAGCGAGGCGTTGGGTGACGCGTGGGACTACCGCGGCCGGCCGGCCGTGCGCGGCAGCTCCGGCGGGTGGTCCAGCGCCGCCATGATCCTGGGCGTGGAGCTCAACGAGCGGCTGACCACGCTGGGCATCGCCGTGAACCTCGTCACGTACCTCACGGCCACCATGCACCTGGGCAACGCCGCCTCCGCCAACGCGGTGACCAACTTCCTCGGCACCTCCTTCCTGCTCTGCCTCCTGGGCGGCTTCGTCGCCGACACCTACCTCGGCCGCTACCTCACCATCGCCATCTCCACAGCCGTGCAGGCCGCCGGCATGACCATCCTCACCGTCTCCACGGCCGCGCCGGGGCTGCGCCCGCCCCCCTGCAAGGACCCGACGGGCGACGGCAGAGTCCCCGGCTGCGCGCCGCCTACCGGCACGCAGCTCGGCGTGCTCTACCTGGGCCTCTACCTGACGGCGCTGGGCACGGGCGGGCTCAAGTCGAGCGTGTCGGGGTTCGGGTCGGACCAGTTCGACGAGTCCCACGCCGGGGAGCGGCGCCGCATGGCGCGCTTCTTCGGCTGGTTCTTCTTCTTCATCAGCCTCGGCTCCCTCCTCGCCGTCACCGTGCTGGTGTACGTGCAGGACAACGTGGGCCGTCGCTGGGGCTACGGCGCGTGCGTGGTGGCCATCCTCGCCGGCCTCGGCGTGTTCCTGGCCGGCACCCCCAGGTACCGGTTCAAGAAGCTGGCGGGGAGCCCGCTGACGCAGATCGCGGCCGTGACCGCCGCCGCCTGGAGGAAGCGCGCGCTGCCGCTGCCGTCTGACCCATCCTCCCTCTACGACGTGGACGACGCGGCGGCCGCCGGCGAGGACGTCGGGGGCAAGCGGAAGCTGCCACACTCCAAGCAGTGCAGGTAACTGCAATTAACAACGTTCCTATCCGCTTCCATGCATAGTTCCATGATTAATTAATTTGTCGGTGGCGGGCGGCGTTGCATGCAGGACCATAGTAATTCATTCAAAATATAATATGCTGTAGCAGTGTGTACTTTGATTGGCGCCGGCCGGGATTATAGTTGTTATCGATAGCGTCGTTGGTTTCTAGTCTGGCATGTGTCATGGCATCGTGTGGATCTATGGATCACTACTAGGTAGACACATCATGCATGACACCATAATTATCTTGTGCTGAACAAGAACAATGTATGCTTAGTGTAGTGTAGTAGTCCACGAGGCAATGCACAGTACGTGGTACATATATAACCTTGTCACACTCACACGTAGGGGGTACCTAAAGCAGTGTACCATGCACGTGGCTTAATTCACGTGTGCTGTCACGTAGGTGAGCACGTAGGTCCGGCATGTGTACATATAGTGATCTGTCAATCTGTGTCACGCGCGTAGGACGGGTCGATCGAGTATCGACCTGTGAGCTGTGAGCGTGTGACACCACCATATATCGCTAGCATCACATATTCACATGCATGCCCACACACGCATGCAAAAATGCATCACTACCTGTATGTTTGTTTGTGCATGTGATGCCCATGACCTGATCGCCCGTCGTTCATCTAGGGCTGGTCGTAATGGAATTATCATAAGCGGTATCATGCATGACAACTAGATTTTTTGAATAAATTGGCACACAATTAAATAAGAAAAAAGAGGATGTGGTATCATATCATGATACAGTATCATATTAAATGTTGTACTACTTTGTGTCATGCATGACAATTAATAAGGTCACCTAAGATACTAACTTATGATACTATGCATTACGGAGGTAGTATCATATACTAATATCATATGCATGATACTAGTATATGATACTCTCACATTACAACCAGCCTACTAGATACAGGCAGTATGCAGCTAAACGTAAATAATTAAGCATTGAAACCTGATCATTGGCAGCTAACGTTGTGAGGCAGATAGATGAGATAGATGGTGTTGGTTGAGTTGGTTCCATATGCTTAGTACAGTATTGGGCAGACAGTGCAGTGCACCACTAGAGAGTGGGCAGTCCCACCCCCACATGGCCAATGGCTGGTCTGTCTGATCGTTGTTTCTTTTCGTGAATGCATGATAGCTGGTCGAATGTTGTCAAGGAGTACGTACAAAAGCACATGCATGTTAGTACATGCACGTACTATAGCTGGGCTAAACTAGTGCCCCAAGAAATACTCTGGCGTGGCGCATGGGAACCAGCCAATAAATTCACAAAAGAAAAACCCAAGAGCTCAGCCTTTTGTTGGGTTGGGTTAGGTTGGGTTGGGCCCCAAGCACGTGCTTCTGCTATACTCCCTTCGTTGCTAGTACCAAAGCTAGAGGAGAATTTGTTGGAGATACGCCTGCCTGCCACACATGCATTCTTGTTTGGCACTAGTGCGGCCAGCATGTTCTCCAGCTAACTTTGAATCTTGGACGATGTGGCTCAGAAAATTCATCTTCATTTGTTGCACTCCATCTGTTTCTAAATATAAGCATTTTTAAGGATTCCAATATAGACTATGTACAGAGCAAATTAAGTGAATCTACATTCTAAAATACATCTATATACATTTGTATATAGTCATTATTAAAATATCCAAAAGGTTTTTTATTTAGAAACGGAGAGAGTATATATATACATATAATACTATAATATTAGCACTGCATACAGTACTCCATCCATCTCAAAATAAAATAAGTGTCTCGACTTTAGAGCACCTATTTTGGGATGGGGAGAGTACTTCTGGTGTTGCTTTTCACGGCGCCCTGATCTGTACATTATCAGTTTAGTTCATTCAGTTCACGGGCGTGCGTTCAGTGCTCACTCACACACACAGTCACATGCATGTGAACGGTGAACCTGCTGCAACCACGACGTGCTGTCTCTGTACGGGCGCTAGCATGAGTTTGTACGTTCCCACCGTTCAATTCAGATTTCAAGCGCACTGACCAGCTTTCCTTTTTCAAGTAAATTTCATACGATCTTTTATTTTGCGGAAAAGAATTTTATATGATCCCTTTAAAAAAAGACAACAAGCCTCCTTTTGATTTCCATTAAAGTAGAAACCGCTCACCCAAATTTCTTACAAAGCAAAGTGAAGGAACAGAAATAGAAAAAGAAAGGCTAGAGAGACCATGTTCAGGCACTCCAGGCAATACTAAAAGGGTGTGTCTAGGGCACAGCTAGATGTGCTCTAGTTATTTCACATCTAAGTGAGTGAATCAAGCATAAAGAGAAAAAGGAAAAAAAAGAAAATATTCACACGAATCTCAATATAAGATCAATGACATATGACTTAGATGTGCAATACGTATGGCACATCTAGATGTGCTTTAGCAAAACTGATACTAAAACTCCACCCGCACGTTACGCATGAGCTTCACGGCACACAGGCCAGGCTCCAGGATCATCATGAATTATTTTTATAAAAAAGAAAAATTTATAAATCAAAGGCATTTTGTGCTGATGGTAGGAGTAACTATTTTCTAGACTAGTTCATACGATGAGGGGGGTTGGCTGCACTCTTTCCCAAGAAAACCAAAGGCATTTAGTGCTGATGGTAGGAGTAACTATTTGCTCGACTATTTGGAAGACTAGAAATAGAGTTTTCTTATATATATATATATATATATATATATATATATACATATATATATATATATATATAAAGAGGGGCGAAAGCCTTTTTCGGTAAATAGAGTTTTTCCTTTTTATAAAAAAAATCATGCTGATGGTAGGAGTAACTATTTTCTAGGCCTGGAGTACAAAACCCTTCAGGGGCCTAGAGCACAAATGACCACTTGCTAGACAAGCTTGACAACACGGCCGGGCCGGCAAAATCCAAGCCCTGTGCAACTCTAAAACGAGGCCCTATCTCACATGAAAAATTAATATTATTTGTGTTCCTATGAACTTTAATGCATAATAAAGGTTTACAGCTCTCAAAATTCTAATGTATATGACATAATATTTTACATAACTTTTCTACTAATGTTTCCCTGTGATGATTCAAATATGTATTCTTGAAACACAAGATACAGAGATGAATAAAATAAGATTGAACTATTGAAGATTAACAAAATTGCTACCTCTAACTCACCTAGTCTATACGACGATCATTGACCGAGAAGAGAATCGATCTCTAGGCCCTAGGGATTCCTCTGCCGTCAGTAGCCAAAATTAATCAGAAATTTAGTAATTACTAGTCAAAAGAGGATCGACTCATCAGGCACTGGATCGGAGATCAGAAATTGAATTGTCGCGTCTCGCTTGTCATCACTCGTTGAGTCGTCATCGCTCATCGCCCACGCCGGAAGGAAGACGATTGTTCTGGAATCGGGAGGCCCGTCGCCATCGCTGGTCGCTGGTCGTCGCTCGCCGGGTTCATCACACCCTGGTTCGTATGGAATCGGATCGCCGCGAGTCGCGACCTGGAGTTGGATAGGGAGTTGGGGTCTTGGGGACGTAAGTGCTGGCGTCTCGCGAGCGAGTAGCGACGCACACGCGTGATACACCCACGATCGAGTCGCCCAGCAGAGTCGCGAATGCGGACCAACGCCCCATGTAGCCCAGCGTCCAGATTCCAGAAACTAGCCTCATGCCCTTCTGATTGCTACTCCCTCCGTTTCTAAATATTTGTCTTCTTAGAGATCTCAAATGGTTACCACATACGAATGTATATAAACATATTTTAGAGTATAGATTCACTCATTGTGCTCCGTATGTAGTCACTTGTTGAAATCTCTAGAAAGACAAATATTTAGAAACGGAGAGAGTAATAGGCTTATATATAAAAAATTGGCCCCTGTGCGGGCCGCACAGTTGGCACACCTATGAGCCCGCCCTGCTCGACAAGGTTGCAGCCAAAGTACAAATGATCCACACTCTCCTTATACCTACAAAAGTGACACTCCTCATTCCTAGTTCAGCCTCTCCTGACTATGGATTAGGTTATCTTTGGTCAAGATGCTATTCTTAGGCACCAACCAGAGAAAGACCTTAATTTTGTGAGGGGTCTTCAACTTACAAATACCTCTATATCCCACCAAATTGAGGACTTCAGGAAAATATAATGATCTCTCCCTAAAAATTATTTTTACTATTCAGATTCCATCTCGATCTATCATTCCTGTCAATTAGAACCACATCATCCACCAGACTATTCAATTCCTTTCATTGATTTGCAGTCTCTCATACGAGTTCTTCTAAATCTAAAACGATCTCAATCATCATGACTAACTTGCTGCACAGTCACCATCTTTTTAAATGTGTTGTTATATAATCTAGGAAATAGTTGATAAGGATTTTGTTCCCTAGCCACACATCTTCCCAAATCAAAGTTTTTGCCCCATCACCAACCACCCTGCTAGATGCACTAAGGAAACCATCCCTGACTTTCTAATCCTTGCCAAAAATGTGAACCACTGGCTCCATCACACAACCCTGACATAGTTTGTTCATGTAGACATTTCTTGGTCAACAGCGGTTGCCATAATCCTTCAGAATTATCCAGTTTTCCATAACCTTTTCATTAGTAGAAATTTATTCATCACCTATAGGTCTAGCACCCCCAAACTACCACAACTCTCAAGCAAGCAAAATGTAGGCTGATTAACTAGATGATATTTTCTCTTGTCTTCATTTTCTTGCCACACCATCTCGGCTCTGCTAGAATCCATGTTCTTTAGCACTCCTTCAGGAGCTTCTAGGAAGGAAAGCATATACAAGGGAATGCCACTAAGACATGAATTCACTAGGGTAACAGTGCTTTGCACGATCTGGAGGTCAAGAGTACCCATGACATGCAAGGTGTTTGGGTGGTTGGCAGCACGCGATAGATATTGGACGGCCAGGCTAGAGCGGCGTGGGCTTCCACACCCAATAGATTGTCCATTTTGTGACCAACAACTTGAGAACCTTCAACCCATTCTTCTTGGGTGTGTGCTTGCAAAGGAGGTGTGATTAACTAGATGATATTTTCTCTTGTCTTCATTTTCTTGCCACACCATCTCGGCTCTGCTAGAATCCATGTTCTTTAGCACTCCTTTAGGAGCTTCTAGGAAGGAAAGCATATACAAGGAAATGCCACTAAGACATGAATTCACTAGGGTAACAGTGCTTTGCACGATCTGGAGGTCAAGAGCACCCATGACATGCAAGGTGTTTGGGTGGTTGGCAGCACACGATAGATATTGGATGGCCAGGCTAGAGCGGCGTGGGCTTCCGCACCCAATAGATTGTCCATTTTGTGACCAACAACTTGAGAACCTTCAACCCATTCTTCTTGGGTGTGTGCTTGCAAAGGAGGTGTGGTCAGTTATCCTCGGGGATTGGGGAAAGCTTGAGTGGATCCCAACAATGGACAATGACCTGGTGTATTGGTGGACAAGAAAGGAAGCTGCGGGATGGCTCACTAGTGACATTCAAATGACCATCTTGCTTGTTTTATGGAGCCTTTGGACGCACAAGAACAATGTGGTGTTCAATGGCATGACCCTAGGGAGATGGATGTAGTGCCTAAGGTTCAAAGTGAAGGGGCAGCATGACTTATCCATACGGCGGGCCTCATAGATGGATGGCGTTTTAGCGAGTGGTAAGTTTTCTGTTTCCACCTTCTCCTGAGTTGGGAGGGCATTCAACCGTTCATTGGCATTCTTCCGGGCGTCTTGCCCTTCCTTCTATGCTACTAGTGTGTCCATCTTTGGACGTATCCTTAAAATAGGGTAACCCGGTCTTCAGTAGAAAGACGATTACCCTTACAACCAAACATTTTCTTGTCAATCTTCTCTTCGACAAGAACCCATCAAGTGTTACTTAATATTTTAGCATCCACATGCACCCCAAGTTGTTTCAAGGTTAGAAACCCAACTCACAAGTGAAATCTCCATGTATTCCTACAATCTACTATTGGGCTCACCCAAGCAAAAAAATTCACTCTTATGAAAATTAATCTTTAGTCCGGATAGCTGCTCAAAAACACATAATATATACTTCAGATTCCTTGCATTAGATAGCTCATCATCCGGTAGGAAGATAGTGTCATCAGCATATTGGAGCAGTGCCAAGACACCATCTACCAAATTAGGAGCCAGCCTAGAAATCAGAAATCATGCCCTGACTTGAGCTCTTTTAGTAAGGACAACCAACCCATCGGCTATTATGTTAGAAAACAATGGGGATAGTGGATCCCCTATCCGATCCCTTTAAAGTGTGAAAGTATGGACCAATATGGTCATTAACTTCAAAGCAACTCTTCCACCTCCAAGCAACTTCATCATCCAATCCGCCGAGAGGCCGAGACATCTCCAAAGCCCTTTAAAGGGGGAAGTATGGAATCCAAATTTTATAGAATTCGGGAGGATTTTCTTCCTAACAAAGGTTTCTTGCACAAATCTATTTGGTCTACATGATTTGAAACCATAGAAATTGCTACTATAGTCTACTAGCTAATTGTTCGTGCGTTGCAATGAGGGCATACATATTCTAATGGTTCAACACCAATAACGTCCGACGTAAATCTTACACCCAACATATTTTAGATCTTGGTTAGTGCCGGACGTGGGTGAGGGGGGTCGTGGGTAGGGGGAGTTTTTTGTTTGAAGCTAGCGAAGGGGGAGTTGGACATACAAACATGCAATCCCCGACTCCTTTTTTTTCTAAACACCTTCCCACGGTATTAATGAACTAAAAGGATGTTACATCATTCGTTATGGCATACATCACGCAGGGTGGACGGCTATTAAAAAGAAAACCATCCGACCTATTATCAAATCTAAACATCATAATCTCGTGCGCCATCAAGTTGGCCGAACGATTGATCTTTAATAGTAGAGATATTGTATGCAATTTCAAAGGAAATTACAGTTGGTAGTAATCTCATGGAAAATTTTCTTTTGTTGCTATGACAACTATACCATGCATCTAATGGTATACAGAAGTTCTTGCATTTTTCCATGTGGTGCAACCAAACAGCTTCTATGCGCTTTTGTAGAATTTAATAATATGACATTCTAACCATGTGTGATTTATCCTATTTTCACGTTTTTAGAATCCGGCAGACAACTCCTTTGGGCTCCTCCTCCTTGATACGTGTAATGTTTCTAACACACAAAGTATGAGTAAACTGAGACAGATAGAGTATTTACGAACAATGGTTAATTAATTCAGTTTCTAATCATATGGTGTACTCTTGATGTTGCTTATATTAATTATCATGGATTAATGATCATCCACGTGCAGGTTCCTTGATCAGGCTGCAATAGTAGAGGTGGAGCTGGAGCCGTCGTCCCCGTCGTCGGGGAAGAAGAAGAGGAAGAAGTGGGCGGTGTGCACAGTGACAGAGGTTGAGGAGGTGAAGCAGGTGGTGCGGATGCTGCCCACGTGGGCCACCACCATCGTCTTCTGGACCGTCTACGCGCAGATGACCACCTTCTCCGTCTCCCAGGCCCAAGCCTTGGACCGCCGTCTCGGCCCCTCCTTTGTCATCCCCGCCGGCTCCCTCACCGTCTTCTTCGTTGGCTCCATCCTCCTCACCGTCCCTATCTACGACCGCCTCATCGCACCGCTCGCTCGCCGCCTCACTGGCAACCCTCAAGGCCTCTCCCCGCTCCAGCGCATCTTCGTCGGCCTCTTCCTCTCCATCCTCGCCATGGCCGTTGCCGGGCTAACCGAGCGCCACCGCCTCTCCGCCTCTACCGCGGGCATCCAGCTCTCCGTCTTCCTCATCGTGCCACAGTTCCTCCTCGTTGGCGCCGGAGAGGCGTTCACATACATCGGCCAGCTCGACTTCTTCCTCCGCGAGTGCCCCAGGGACATGAAGACCATGAGCACCGGCCTCTTCCTCACCACGCTCTCGCTTGGCTTCTTCCTCAGCTCCGGTCTCGTCTCCGTCGTGCACGCTGTGACCACCTCCGGTGGCCGGAGACCGTGGCTCGCCAACGACATTGACAAGGGGAGGCTCGACTACTTCTACTGGCTGCTCGCCGCCATCAGCACCGCCAACCTTGGGATCTTCGTCGCCGCCGCCAAGGGGTACGTGTACAAGGAGAAGCGCCTGGCAGACGCCGGCTTCATCGAACTCCACGTCGAAGAAGTGGCCGTCCATGCTTGATAGATGACGAACTGGGTTTTAGTTTAGTTTTATTGTATTTTAGAACCTCGGTGATGATGGTGATGAAAATTTGTAAGAGCAGAACAGAATAAAAATGTTTTAGGTGTTTATCAACGGCTCTGCAGAATGCACGAGTTGCTTGTCGAGGTTAAGGCACCGCTAGATAAGTGCAACACATAAAAATATCAAGTATGTCATGATCTTGGAGATAAGTGCAACATAAAAATGTCAAGTATATCATGACCTTGGAGATAAGTGCAACATAAAAATGTCAAGTATGTCCTGATCTTTCCAGGCAGAATTGCTGGGATTTGGTTAACTGCACAAACATTCTTGATCAGCGCTTGATCACTAGATTTATACTTAAGCACTTGATAACAAGGCACTCATTGGTTGTGTGAAAACATATACAGCTAAAGAAGAATATTATTATTGACAATCTAGGTTTAACAACCACAAGCTATAGCACCTACTACATCTTGCAAGCCTGTGGACACAGACACATTTTATAATGTCCATAGTCGTATGTCATAGTATTTGTTTACATACAGGGGAGATGAATGAGCTCATCTCTCCACAATGAGGATTGGGAAAGCCAGCTAGTAGTTGTAGTATATATTTTCAGTAATACTTTTCACGCTAACACCTATTTGGTGGAAATGGAATAGCTGCTACATAATTGAGCTATATACCCACACTAGCGGGAACCGGATAAGTTTTCTTGTCGGGCAATTCACCGAATATATCGCGGCAGCCATCCCATTTCCTCTGCTCTCTCGCCTCCCAGTAACCGCCGGTGTAGTGGAACGCTCCGTCTTCGGTGTCCCTGTCGAACCATCTCGGTTTCCATCCATTATCCTGCATTTTCCGTGCCTGTACATGAAGAGATCCAGTACTTCAGTTAAGACATTTTTGTGAAAGTAGGGCCTTTAACAGAACTGTGAACGCAAGTGTTATTTCCATGAACATGTAGGAGAACATGAAGGAAGATGTACCATCCGTTGCCTTGTCTCCAACCGTAGCTTCTCAGAGTTGGCTTTATCGTACTCCCCATTCTCTAGGTGTCGCTGATCCGGTCTGAGCCTTGAATCTGTTGGAGGAAGTTTCTCCTAAACAATAGGCAAAAACGGAGCTTCAGTATCAGAGCTAGCTGAGAGAAGTACCGAGATAGCGAGCTGAATCTGCCAATGGTGTACCTTGAGATTTGGAGTCAGCTCGTTTAGGGTTATAGCAAATGATGACAAATTGTATCGTGTGGGATTAGTTGGAGGCTCATGTTTCTCCCACAGCAGAGTGGATTCAGCACTGGAATTTACTCCGTCATTAGTAACATTGCAGTACAAGCTCTCGTCCCACTTTCCCCTTAGGGTAGCAACCTTGGTACCGCCAATATCCTCAACAACTCCTTGAACCTTGCATAGGACTATATCTTAGTAAGATCTATGGAGATGACAGGGAAGGTGAAAAACACATAGGTTGTGGGAACTGGCATTTATGTTCTGTTTTACCTGTCGAGGGTTACGTTCAAGAAACGACTGCTGTTTAAAGGTAAGCTTGCATGAATGTTGTCTGTTCCCACTTATTTTCATCGTCCCATGATGATGGCAATAAAGTCTACCGATGATAAGGTTATTAATGGTTGTTGTAACCTGGCACAGAGAGTAAGAAGTTCAGATTTTTCATAAGCAAAAAAAAAAAAAAAAGGGTTCACTACTATGAGACCTGCTGGACAAGCATCGTTTATTGGATTTGGGCATGGGTGAGGCGGTCTGCCTGTCATGCAATCAATGATTAAAGGCTAGTGGTCTCCAGGAAGGTCTTTTACCTTGCTCCATTTGAAAATTTCTCCATCATCGAATTCTAATGTTAAAACACCAACAGGATCAAGCTGAATTGTTTGTCCCCAGAATTTGCTCTTTACATTGCTCTCTCCCCAAAATTTCCATCCTCTTCCTTCACAATGACAGGCCATGACCATTGGATGATGACTAACCTGGTACCAAGAAGGGAATAACATAATGACTTCAGGTATAGTTCGTAACAGTAACAGCAAAAGGTCTAACGGCAGATAACAGTAGAAAGTGAAATTACAACTGTTTGTAGAGAACAAATAGAAATATATCATGACAATTCTCACTGAATGAAACTTGCTAAACTTAGTTCCATCGTTACCAATAACTGACCTTTTCTGAGAAGAAACGGATTCCATTTTCAGGAAAATCAGCTTCATAAGTTTCCCCTAGCAAAGGATTAAAAGGTTTGCAGGGCCGGCCATCAGAGGAAGCATACCCAGAGACAGCGAATGCAGCAACACATAGAGTTCTCATCACACTGTTGCCCTGGATTCAGATTGATGCTCAGAATACTGAAAAATTATAGCCAGCTAGTTTCCAGACTAACAGTGAACTATTAATTGATCAGAGTTGGTAAAAATGTAACAGATGCCATGTTGCATCTAATGAACAAATAAAATTCAGATCAGCCAGATAAGATACATTTAGAATGAGTCATGGTGGAAATAAACATCTTGTTGTTCACTAAATTTTAAAAGCTACCACTAATTTTAAGTATCATTGACAAGACAGAAACAAAAACAAAAAAACAAATAACAAGAAAGATGCATGAAGGATGACATTTTCATACCTTTAGGCCATAATCATATGCATGGTCCAACAAATGAGAATATTCCAAGTCTTCAAAGCATTTTTGAAGAGATGAAATCGGTTCATTAAAGTAAACAGGCAGGCAGACCCGCGTCAGATCTTTTCCAACATTGTCCTTGATCATTGACCAAAGACTAACGCCCTTCTCCTTTTCAACTGGTTCGGGCAACTTTGTGCGGCGTTTTGGTGGCAGCAATAAACATTCATTCTCTCCCTTGCCAGATCTTGATTCTACAAAATTATGATTGTATTGCTGGACATCGTTGCTCGAATTTGAATGCTTCATCCTCATGTCAGGACTCGCAGCAGAATCACTGAAACTTTGTCTTGTATCACAGAAGTTATAGTCATCTTCATCTGACGATTCATCTAACTCCTGAATCCCAGCATCATCGGATGATTCCGTGTTGCTGCTCTCTGATAGAAAAAGGTCAAGAAAAAAAAAGTAAGAACAACAGAAAGCTAAAATTCATTTTCTCTTTTATCTTGCTCCACATATGAAAGCTCAACAGATAAACATGGCATTCTGCATTTTCAAAATTTGATGTGATATGATAGCAGTTTAACAACAAACAACAAAAAGATTATCAAATAAACATGTTCAAACATCCATCTTGAGACAACGGTACAGCACGAGAGCAACTGGAAATTGTGCATTAAAAGCTTAAACTGAGAGGATGAGGAAAAAAGGTACAAACACCGATCAAACTAGAAATACCAAATTGATATTTTTCCTCGAAGCTAATTGCATGAATCATGGATGCGAACAGGATTCTAGTATGAGAAACATAGAAAACATAAAGAGTTCAAAAAAAAAAATCAAGTACCACAACATTTTCCATGTCCAGAGCAGGAACATTCAGGTCTGATAGAGTGTGTAGTATCTTGTTCATTAAGTACCTGAAAGACACAGCATATCAGCATGAAGAGCAGGTTATTGCACTTCTCTATATTGCTTAGTTCAGTTTCCAACTGGGAATAAGCAGGGGAAGACCCAAAATTTCCGGTCTGACTGTTGTTATTCTGCCTTTTGAGGTCAATCAAACTGATTTTCCTCTTAATAATTATTATTAAGCAGTATTTAGTGATAGTTTGGGCCTGAGCACCGGGAGGATGCCCGGGGTGTAGTTATTACGGCAATCACGCACATCACATCCAAAATAAAATCAATATGGTTATGTCACCAAAAAATCTCAATAGAAATGAGGATCTTTCTACAGTTTACTGTAATACTTATACAATGCTGGAAGGGTCAAACGAAATCAGAGATAAGTGTCTGCGGTATCCTTAATTCTTCTAGACGGGGCGAACTTTTTTGGATTAAGGTTGGCATGTTCAACTTCTGTACATGTAACTCAAATTAAAACAGAGTTAGAATGGCTACTGATTATTTCATAATCCACGATAAATGCAAAACCCATTATTTCGAATTAATCAAAAAATTATAATTTCTTCTAATAACTCAAAAAGCGACTTGAATATAGTGTACTGAGGGTACAGGGACCACACAGTTGATTCTAAAAAAAGTTCAACAGTGCACCAAATGCTTTCTTGCAATCCACGTTAAATTAATGAGATGGTCAATCATCAAAGTAGTGGGAGCAGATTGAGTTCACTGATACACCTAGCAGCAAGTCTTGAGAAAATGTTACCTCAAGCTGTTGTGGAAGACTGCCAAGAAAGCTCAAATACTCTTCACAACGTTGTTTCATCTGTGTATAATACTGCAAGAATTCTGAATGGACAATCTGCTCACAGTCTTTAATAACCTCTTCACCAAGACCTTCAGCATGCATACGATTTCTAAGCCTGTCTGTAGAAAAGGATGCATCATTCTGGTCATACAGTAAGACTCCATTGGGAGAAGATTCACTTCTCGCAGAAACAAGGGCTTCAATCCAAGCCACACGATCCTTAACTGAGTTGGTTCTCAGCTGAAGCGTCTTGGTTGGAGTAATTATATAGAACCGCTTATCGTCTGATTTACTTTCACGGAATGATGATATCTGGCGAAATTTTAGATGATAAAGTTAGCAACCAAAACCTGCAGATCTAACAAGATTACATATTCTCTCTATACACTACGCCATTCAATGAGACTTGCCCAAATTAATAAGAAAGATGCCCTCAGATTATTTTTTTTATATTCGATAAAGAGCACATTCTAACAAAGTCATGCATTTTTAGAACAACCAGCAGAAAACTAATAGTCTAAATATGCCTTTAAGAAAACCAGACATACTTTATGGGGATGTTTTAATGAAACACAATCGATTCATGTAAAAGAAGTGAGAACCTGACTGGTGGAACACAATCATCGGTGTAATTGGCATACCGGACCGACTAGCCAGCAGCCAAAGAATTGAATTGTTTTATGCAATGTGTAGTTTTCTGCCAAAACATGTGCAATTTT